TTTATTAGCACTGATGATAAGCCCTAACAAAGGAGGGACCACGAGGACAAGGAGGCAGTGAGATCTCCTGCTCAGCTCCAGGGGAGGTGGGGAGGAGGGGGGGTGAAGGGCGGTGGGGTCAGGTTTAATCCCCCTGCAGGGTGCCCCAGTCACAACTCTCCTGGCTCGTGACAAGGCGGGGGTCGATCACGCTGGGGTGGTACCACCCAGGCTGACCTATAGAGTTGCAAGGAAGGGGCAGTAGCTGCCCCAGCAGGGGTGAGCTATTCCTGGGCTAATGAAGCACATTCGTCTCTTTTGTGCAGTTGTGTTAAGTGTCAAAGGCTGGAGAGGCCCCCTTTTTCCTCTGCCACTTAAGGGGGTTTAGAGGGCTAAAGCGGGGCAGTTTCCTCCGGGAACTTGGATGCTCTCGGGAAAGCGGGGCTGGGCCGGGGAGAGGAGCTGATGTGTCACGTTCTTCTCTGCAGAAACCAGAGCAAGTGGGAAAGTTGCAGAGGCAGACACGGATCGCCAGCCCTGCGAGGCACTGAGATCCGTGGCTTGTGGGACCAGAAGCCACCACGGTCCTTGTAATCCGCTTATGGGTAGGAGTGGAGGAGAATTCTGCCACCAGCCTTGCTAAGAGTAAAATACCAAAGAAGGGGAAATGACATGCCAGTGGTTTTAAAGAGAGGAAAATACGTTCCAGAAAAAGAGCCGCAGTGGCACAGCACTTAGAATGCAGCATTGCAGGCTGACTCTGCCCACCACCAGGAGTTCGATCCTGACCGGCTCAAGGTGGACTCAGCCTTCTATCCTTCCGGGGTCGGTAAAATGAGGACCTAGATTGTTGGTAGGCAATATGCTGACTCTGTAAACTGCTTAGAGAGGGCTGTAAAGCGGTATATAAATCTAAGTGCTATTGCTGGTGCTATGAACATCTTTTTCTGAGATGTTTCAGCCTGGACAGTTGACTGACTGATAATTTATGCCCCCCCCCCCGCAGGTCTCCTGTTTCCAGGTTTTCCTTCTTTCCTCCCTCTTTACCCTACTGTATTTTTTTTCCCAGTCCAAGCTCTTTGTTTAGAGAGAGGCCAGAAGGATTTCTCCTGCCATTTAGAATTTCATAAAAACTCTATTTGAACTGCCTACCCCTGAGAAAATATTCGCAGAGTTCTTACTCAAAATATCCCTCTCAGCATTTCCTTGTAAGCTGCAAACAACGGGCTCTTGATGTTGGATAATTACTCTGCTTATGTGATTTCAGATTTTAGGGGGGGGGCATGTCTCCAGCAAGAATTAAGGTTTTAGAGTATCCAGCTTGTACGGTATAAAACTCTCTGCGCTTTGGATAATGGAGAAGAAGCAAGTTAATTCTTCCCATGCCGTACAGCCCAAAATCCGTCTATGCGGGAAGGTGGATTATCTCTTTATAAAGATAAAAAATTATCTTTATAATTCTTCCACAATAGGAATTTAGTTCATTGATGCTGTTTTCCCACAGTGCACTATCCCATAGTTTGGCTAACCATGGTTCATTGAATAAACTACAGCTGGATGTTTCTTCCTGTTACTAAACTATGAATCAGGTCTCACAACCCATATTGGATAAGCTTCACCAGAGAGATCACCGCATCACAAATCAGCCGCTTTGGCTTAATTTTATTAATATGAATAAAACTTATTTATTGTGAAAAATCAAATTGACAGGAAGGGAAAACCCCGCCTTAAAAATAACAAGAAAATCTAATGATACTATTTCTCCCTCTCTCAATTACTGGCATCTTTAGAGAGGAAGGAGAGACGGGCTTGTGAACCTCCAAGACCAACAGAATAACAGAGTTGGAAGGGACCTTGGAGGTCTTCTAGTCCAACCCCCTGCTCAGGTAGGAGACCCTATCTATACCATTCCAGAGAAGTGTCTGTTCAGTCTGTTCTTGAAAACCTCCAGTGATGGAGCACCCACAACTTCTGGAGGCAGGTTGTTCCACTGGTTAATTGTTCTTACTGTCAAGAAATTTCTTAATTCTAGGTTGCTTCTCTCCTTGGTTAGTTTCCATCCATTGTTTCTCGTCCTGCCTTCAGGCGCTTTGGAGAATAGCTTGACTCCCTCTTCTTTGGGGCAGCCCCTCAAATACTGGAAGGCTGCTATCACGTCCTCCCTCATCCTTTTCTTCATTAAACTAGACATATCCAATCCCAGCAGCCATTCCTTACATGTTTTAGACTCCAGCCCCCTGATCATCTTTGTTGCTTTTGTCTGCACACTTTCCAGCATCTCAAGATCTTTTTTGTATCATGGCAATCAAAACTGAATGCCGCATTCCAAGGGTGGCCTTACCACGGCATCTCTGTCCCTTTGGTGTCCAGGGTTGGTGGCCTTGGTCTCTGCAGCACAGCCCGAGGGAGGCAGTTTCTTCCAGATGTCCTGAGAAGGCCCAAGGAAGCTTGCAGGGACCCTTATCTTCTGCTTATCACTTGAGAACGGGCGATTAAAGCAAGCTGCACCCCGCTGAAGTGGCAAGAAAACAATCATCGGTGGCAGAGCCAAGTCCAGAGTCCGGGCCTTCAACGTGACATGGCTTTTGTGTTGTGGTCCTCAGCATCACCTGAGAAGATCATAAAGGTCTCTTTGTTGCCCTTGTCACTCAAAACTAGACGGGAGAATCTGCAAAACTGAAACGGGAGTCTGACTCCCATTGCTCTGTCTGAAGAGTAGGTAAAACTTCACTGCTGTGGGAGGGAACCAAATGCAAATAACAGGGGACCCCTCCCTTCTGGAGCTTGCTATTTATCTGTGTCTGCTTAGGATCCCCAGAAGCAAGGCTGCGATTTGTAACTCTCCACTCCCAAAGTGGGACTCCGGCACTCTTAGCTGAACGGTGATGGGCTGAGCTAATTCATTTGCCCCTTTTCTCTTCACAACAAGATGCAGCGTGAACTTTGTGCCTTTGAGGGGGGGAAGCACTTGTAGCCTGCCTAACTCCAAGACCTGAGCAAAGTTTTGATGTGCCAGGTTGCTTATCTGCATAAGCAGGCAGTAGAATGAAACGTGCAATCATTTAACAATACGCTTCAGGCTGCGGTTCAAGGCTGGCTGAGGAATTCTGGAAGTTGAAGTCCACAAGCCTTAAAACTGCCAGGGTTGGAGATCCCTGCAGTACAGTACACAACCGAGAACCAAAATTTCTGTTGTTAAGCGAGACACTGCCTTCAGTCCCTGCAAAGCTTTTTTTTTTTCTGCCAGCAAAAAGCAAGATTTCATTCTCAGCTTCCATTTACCTCTCTTCCTGTGCCTCAGTATTCATCCCCTGTAAAATGGGCCTGTAGGACCCAGTTTCACCAGTCTGAGGCCAGTCCCCTTTCTCTGCCCGTGAGTAATTGGCATGAATAACAGAATAACGAAGCCACATAGGGCAATATATATATATATATATATATATATATATATATATATATATATATATTTGTTTTCTGAGGTTTTCGCGGGTGTTTGTATATAGGTCTTTGGTTGTTCGGGTTTTCTCCGCGTAAAATTGGAAGTGTCTTGGCGACGTTTCGACGAAGTCACATTCGTCATCTTCAGGCTGGTGTTTTCAGCTTCTGCTTTGAGCAGCAATGTGTGGTTTTAGCTGTTTCTTCCTTTTAACTGCCAGTGAGGGTATGAACTGATTGGGTGGGAGCTTGGCTGTGTTCTGATTGGGTGGAGGTGTGTTCTGAATGGTTAGGGGCTTGGCTGTGCTCTGATTGGCTGGGGGAGTGTTCTGTTTGGTTGTGCTCAGGTTAGTCTGAGTTGCAGAGGGGTTTAAGATTTTGGGGTTAGGGAGTCGTTTGTCAATAAGGGCAGGTTTCCAAATGGCTGGTAGGCGGGAGGTATCATCTCGCTTGTTCATGCTGTGTGGGCGTTTTTCTATCTCGATGGCTTCTCTGATTATTCTGTTATTAAAATGTTCACTTTTGGCAATGGTTCTGGTATTTTTAAAGTCAATTTCATGTCCTGTGGCTTTAAGGTGTTGGACCAGGGAAGATGTTGGTTCCTCTTTTTTGACTGAGTTCTTATGTTCTTCAATGCGTGCACTTATTCTTCTGTTGGTTTGTCCGATGTATGTGGTGGGACAAGTGGTGCAAGTGTATACGAAATCCCATGCACCACTTGTCCCACCACATACATCGGACAAACCAACAGAAGAATAAGTGCACGCATTGAAGAACATAAGAACTCAGTCAAAAAAGAGGAACCAACATCTTCCCTGGTCCAACACCTTAAAGCCACAGGACATGAAATTGACTTTAAAAATACCAGAACCATTGCCAAAAGTGAACATTTTAATAACAGAATAATCAGAGAAGCCATCGAGATAGAAAAACGCCCACACAGCATGAACAAGCGAGATGATACCTCCCGCCTACCAGCCATTTGGAAACCTGCCCTTATTGACAAACGACTCCCTAACCCCAAAATCTTAAACCCCTCTGCAACTCAGACTAACCTGAGCACAACCAAACAGAACACTCCCCCAGCCAATCAGAGCACAGCCAAGCCCCTAACCATTCAGAACACACCTCCACCCAATCAGAACACAGCCAAGCTCCCACCCAATCAGTTCATACCCTCACTGGCAGTTAAAAGGAAGAAACAGCTAAAACCACACATTGCTGCTCAAAGCAAGAAGCTAAAAACACCAGCCTGAAGATGACGAATGTGACTTCGTCGAAACGTTGCCAAGACACTTCCAATTTTACGCGGGAGAAAACCCGAACAACCAAAGACCTATATATATATATATATATATATATATATATATATATATATATATATATATATATATATTTCATCTCGTGCTTGCAATCCTATGCAAAGCTAGGATTCGTCCCGGGGGTGGACTTTAGTACCATTTTCTCATCCAATGCAGGTTTATTGGTCTGGGTTTGTGTTCAGATGTTCAAAACACAGCAACAGGAGAACGTGCATGCGGGCAAGGCCTGTTAAGATTACAATTTCCATCCTGGCTGCCTTGTTGGCTGGGGATGATGGGTGCAGGGTTTGGAAAACAGTGGATTTGGGAGCCGGGAGAAAGAAATTTCAGCATAATTTCTATTTAAATGTCTGTATTTTTCATTATCCAGTTTTCCATTCCACATCACGAGATGCGCGGCTTGTGCCGCCAGAGGGCGCCGGTACGGACTCTAAGACTTTGAGGCTAACGAGTCTTCTTTTCCCGAGTGGCCGATTCGCCACGGTTGGCCTTTCGCAAGGGGGGGGGATTTGGTTTGTTTTACTTGTTAAAAAGACCCACCCTGAATTTAAAAAGCAACCTTCGTCATCGCCAGGCCCGGAAAAAAATCCCCCTTCTATTGGAAAACCCCTTTCTTGACGAATCCGCCGGTCTGGAAACGAAATTAGATCCCTCGCCGAGGCTTCCTGCACGGGGAGGTGAGTCTATTTCGCTCTTGCAAAGTCATAATTTGGGGGAGGGTCGTGGGGGGATATTGGTGGTGGGGAGGGCCGGGGGAGGGGGAGCATTGATTTGGGGGTGAGAGCAGGTTCTCCAAGCTGCATGGGAGACAGGAAAGAGGGGTTGCCAACTGACCGGATTGCCAACGTACCAGGGAAGCCCAGAATTTTGGGCTATGAAGACCTGGGAGGAAACCAATAAAGGAGAATATTTGTGGCTCAGGGTTGGCACGGGGGGGGGGTCCTTGGTGCTCTCTGAGCTGGGTTGTTTTCTTGCAGATGTCTCATTACCCATCTAGGTAACATCATCAGTGCTCGGAGGGAGTGGGTTATGCTACCTGTTTATATACAAAGCAGTAAATTCTACCTAATCAAGAAACTAACAACACAAACAGTCCAATCAAGAGACCACAGCCAAGAAAACAACGCTCCCACCAACACTGACAGGGCAAGCCACTCTCCCTTTCTAGCCTTGATGATTTTCCTTAGTTGGATAATGAAACGTCCCCAAGAAAACAACCCAGCTGAGAGAGCACCAAAGACCCTTCTGAGCAAGTACGGAGTAAATAGGAAGCAAGCAGAGGAAGGCGGCTTCAGGATGGACCCATCCATTGCTGCTACTCTGCCCACCTGCCTGAAGGAAGCCACTCACCATCATGGTCAGTGGTGGTCACCCTGTGGCTATAGGGCACAAATGGGGCAAAATTCACTTAACAAATGTCTCACTTAGCAACATAAATTTTGGGCTCAATTGTAAGTCGAGGACCACCTATGTTTTATTGTGTTTAGTAATCTAGGTGAGATGTTCATCTATCATTGCTGGTCCGTATGATATGCCATGAGCTGAATAATTTCCCTCCAGCTATGAACGAGTGGGTGCCCATCGCTAAAGAGTACGACCCACTGAAAGCCGGAAGCATCGATGGCACCGACGAAGAGCCTCACGACCGGGCGGTCTGGAGAGCCATGTCGGCCCGCTACGTCCCCAACAAAGATGTTTCCGGAGACCCCCACCTAACCCTCTTCGTCGCCCGGCTCAACCTACAAACGACGGAAGAGAAGTTAAGAGAGGTCTTCTCCCGATACGGAGAGATTCGGAAAATCCGTCTGGTTCGGGACTTGGTTACTGGTTTTTCTAAAGGCTACGCTTTCCTTGAGTATAAAGAGGAACGGGCGCTCCTGAAAGCCCACCGTGATGCCAACAAGCTGATCATTGACCAGCGGGAAATCTTTGTCGACTTTGAGCTGGAAAGGACTCTCAAAGGTTGGATCCCTCGCCGGCTGGGAGGCGGGTTTGGCGGCAAAAAGGAGTCGGGTCAGCTGCGGTTTGGAGGCCGAGACAGACCCTTCAGGAAGCCCATCAACTTGCCTGCTATGAAAAATGATTTTTATGGTGAAGGATCTGCGGGAAAAAGAGAGCGGGCTTGGTCCCGGGGAGGGCCGAGGGACTGGAAGACCGGAGAACGAGATTACGAAAGGAGCCGAGAGTCTCGGCAAGCTGAACGGGAAAGATCCTGGGGATACGGCAAGAGCGAAAGAGACCTGGAACATCGAGGGAGGGAAGACCGAGGCAGAGCCCCAGAGAGGAGGGAGCGAGAGAGGAAAGACCGGAATCGCGAGGCCAAGGAGAGCAAGGGGTGAAGGCTGCCACTGATGGGATCATTTCCTTCAAATGCTGCTCGGTTGAAGGAGATCATCAGAAGTGTAGATCTGACTTCCAAGACAAGCCGGATGGTTGTCTGGATCAGCACAGACATTGTGGGTGGGAGCAGCAACTTCCCAGCTGGAGAAGAGTGAAAATTGTACCAAGGGCTCCCATCCCTTGATAGTTGTGTCCATGTCTTATTCCAGGATCTGCTGGACGATGGGTTCCAAATTCCCAACAATGACATTATCTCCTGATACATTTGAAGTGCCAAAAAGGAGAGAGCTGGTTTAGGATTCCCACCCCCGTTCCACACCCTTTAATTCTTGAAAAAGATCTGGATTAATGTAAGGCCTTAATTCTGCCAGTAAACAGCTCCATCAAGGCAGAAGGATAGCTATCACCCTAAAAAGTGAGGTAGGATTGAATTGTATATATGGGATTTGAGGGACTTCAACCAAACGCTGTTTACGAGTCAGTGAAATCACCCGGAGGCCTCTTGTTAATTCAGAAATAGTTTATTTAGCATATTAAAAAGAGTTCTACAGTTCGATATTGATCTTTATACTAGTCCCAGCCAAACCTTGTTTATTGCCTTTAACTATCTAACACCCTGAATCTTGAATAAAAATTAAGAATCTCTTTGCGTATCCTGTGGTGGTATGATTGCTCTTACTCTAGACTTGGTAATTTTAAGACTTGTGGTCTTCAACTCCCATAATTCCTGGCTGGGGAATTTTGGGAGTTGAAGTCCACAGATCTTAAAGTTGCTAAAGTAGGACACCCCTTCCCAGATAATTGTATTAAGAGAATACAGAGGGTGGGGATAATCAGTAAAGGGTTAACTTGTGTGCAAAGCATCTCAAATTCAAAAGGGGCTATTTGGATGTGATTAGAACTGTCCTGAGCATTTCCTGCTGGCTGGGGAATTCTGGAAGTTGAAATCCACACCTTTTAAAATTGCCAAGTCTGAAAAAACGCCGCTTTTTTTTTCTCTGAGGTTTGGGGAACAAACCCCCTTTCGTTATTTCCTGTTGCTCCTCAATGTTCATATTTCTAATTACAGCGCTGAGCGATCGTCTACCGTGCACCAAATTCAGGCCAATTAAACAATTTCAAGGCAGCTTTGATCTCATCCAGAGAGAGAAGGGACCTCTGTTCAGAAGCGGCTGGTGGGTCTGTTTCCAGAACTGTCAAAACTGAAGTTGGCGTGTTGAATTGAAGCAATTGCCTTCACACAGAAAGGGGGGGGGGAGCATTTGTTGCTACAAGGTTGGCAACAATCATAACTGGAAAAAAAAAAAGGATTAGCATAGATTTAAACCGTTTGGTTGCCATCACTGTGTCAAGAGAATTCAAAGCAAAACACGAGGCACCGTTTCCCTGGACATCACGTTGGAGGCACTATAAATAAGCCACTCAAAATATATCTCCTCCCAAATCTGTGTTTAAAAAGTCACCTCTCTCCAGAACTTTTCGCCTTGGATACATTTCCAGAAGATTTCTGCAAAAGGAGAGGAAAAAAACAACAACAACTGCTGGAACTGTGAAGCAGAAAGTTTAGCAGGAGGAAGCAGAGAGGAAGAGCGGAACAAAATTGTTATTATTTTTTTTAAAAAAAATCCCTTTGAATAAGGTGCGCCTGGAACAATGGTCGTCGGTCCTTAAGCAGTGCATTTGTTCAGGAATGGACTAAATCCCTTTTATTTCCTTTTTTGGGAGAGGGGGATAGACAAAAGGAAGCATTGGTGATGTGATGTTCACTCGCAAGTCAGCCGAAGTCAAAACGATGGCCGATTTGCTTCCCAAATCCAGACTGGGATTCTGTTGCTTACAGGAAGAACCTGGCGCACGGATTCTGGTTTAATGCACCTTTCCCTCACCCTGTGCTGACAACAGCGCAAGACCTGGAAGTCGGATGGGTGGATGGGCGCCGTTTGCCACACGAGGGCTTCCATGTTTCTGCGTTTGGCGCATCGGTACAAATGAACGGTCTGGGTTCGGGTCACAGGTGCTGCAGAGCTTCTAAACCTTGTTCGGTGTAGACGTCGTCTTTGTTCCGGTCCGCCCACTCGCCGAAAGAGCCGTGGAAGGAGGTGTTTCGCTGGGTGGCTTGCAGGCGTCTCTTGTCGCGGGAGAAGAAGCTAAATCTGGCCCCAAACAAGAAAAAAATGTGGGTTAAAAACTGGAGACATCCTGGGACGGTTTATGAGGTGGTGGGGTTACAGCAAGCTCTTTAACCTGACTTTATTTTAATGGGGGGGGGAGGCTGCAGACCTGTTAGAAAACTCTTGAACAGGTGAGCCTTGCATTGCAACCGTTCATTTAGTGACTGGCAGCATGGCAACCTTAAGATGGGTGGGCTTCAACTCCCAGAGCTGACTAAGGAATTCTGGGAGTTGAAATCCAAACATCTTAAGATTGCTTTCCTAACTGGGGAATTCTGGGAGCTAAATTCGACCCATCTTAAAATCCACAAATGTCTGGTTGAGAAAAACTGGACGAGAGAGAAGAAAGCATAGACTAATGTTTATTCTCTTAAATGTCCTAATAAATGGAAGTTTTTCTCCAGACGATAGAGACAGAGAAAGTGAGTTGTTTTTCCAATGTTGTTGTTATCGGAATGGCATTACCCTACAATTAACGACAACATGGTCTAAAACCCTTAAAAATCCAACGCAGCCAAAGATTTGACTTGATTGCTGCTTGCTTAATGGCGCTGCTTGGAAGGGTGATACCATCTCAACTCATCAGCTGAAAGCCGAGGCCCATGCTGTTTGTTTAAAACCGCACAACGCATCCTGCCTGCTGCTAATTCAGGCACGCAATTAAAACTAAGAGCCACAGTCTGTAAGTAGGCGGGATTGGAAAGCAGCATTAATCCACAGGAAGAATTAATATGCTGATATATTAGAGGAGCTGGTCTAAAGGAGGAACACAAGGAAGGGCTCCCAGTCATTGGCCGAATATCCCGTGAGGTCACAGAAGGTTTAAAGGCGTTTTAAAAATTGAGGAAGGATTAAATAAACATTCAAACTGCTGAGGAAAAAAAAACCCTTTTCATTGACAAGCATAATCAGATAATATCAACGGGGCTGGAAAAGCCGACCCAGAATACTCCTCAAATTATGAATTGGGACCAGAGAATTCATCCCTAAGCGGTGCGGTCACTAAGAAAGGTGACCTGCCCCAATTTTATAAGCTTTTGGCGTTGGTTGTTAATCAAGTCAGGTGATTGCTGTTTGTGACCTTCCTTGCCGGCTTCGCCATGGATTTTGCTTGTTGGAAGCTGGGAAGGTCACAAACGGCAAAGCACGTGATCCCTGGGATGGTCGTAAATACATGCCAGTTGCAATCACATGACTGCAGGGAGGCTGCGTTGGTCATAAGTGTGAGGATCAGTTGTAAATCTCCTTTTTTCCAGCACCGCTGTATCTGAACGGTCACTAATGGTCGTAAGTCCAGTAGAAGGTAGCCTGAAGGGCCAGGGCAATTCATGGAGAGCCAACGGGACAGAAGGATGGGTCAAAAACTTGCATGTTATTGTCCCGAGCTCATAAGTTGCTGCAATCGAAACAAAAGTGCAATTGAAAACATTGCAGCGGGGCCACATCGGCCACGTCGTTCTTACCCCCCCCCCATTTTTCTTGTTTGGGGGTTGGGTTTACGATCCCACAATCAGCCAATGGTAGTTAGAGGGGGGGGGTTGAGACAGCAGCAGGTCATGCAAAAAAAAAAAGAGGCCATACGAACTCCATCAAATGCGGGAAAAGGGATCAAAACAAAACAAAAAAAAATTCAAAATCCAGAGTCCCTACAAGAGACATAAGTCTTCTGATTGGCTGCAATGTGGGATCGTCCGGGATCAATCCGGCAGCAACCATGGGCATAACAGCGGTAAAGATCCTGGTTAGGAAAGGAACAGACAGAGGAGATCAAAGTACTGGAGAAAGAAAGGAATGTTACGATGTTCAAAAACAGCAAAAGAGGCAGCCGAAGGAAGCCTCTTGAGAGAGACAGAGGGAGGGAGGGAGGAATTGGGTTCTTGCAAAGAGGGGCCGCAATTAGCTAAGTTTTGCCTTGGTTGCGCAAAACAGTAGAAACAGGTTTGATGGCTTAGCTTGCAAGCCCAGTGAATTACGGTTTAGGGAGGGGCTTCTCAACCTCGGTAACTTGAAGAGGGGTGGAGTGCAACTCCCAGAATTCCCCAGCCAGCACAGCAAAGTTGCACTCCACCCATCTTCAATTTACCGAGGTTGGAATTAGAGAAACCACATTCACCCATCATGGCTTGTTGGCCCAGAGAGTCCACATCCCTGTTAAGACCTTTCCTGGGATCCAGGCAGTGTTTGCTCCATGGTGGGGGAAAACACAGGGAGTCCCCGACTTACCACAGTTCGTTTAGTGACCGAAATTACAACACCACAGGAAAAAAGGGACTTACGGCCGTTTTTCACACCTAAAACCACTGCAGCGTCCCTAACGGTCACGTGATCAAAACTTCACGATGGCTTGGCAACTGGTTCATACTTAGGACGGTGGCGCTGTCGCCGGGAGGGGTGTCACATGACACCCCCCCTTTGCGACCTTCTGACAAACAAGGTCCATGGGGAAGCCAGATTCACACAACAACTGGATGACTAACTTCACAACTCGGACTCCCTTAACGACTTTGGCAAGGAAGGTGGTAAAAAGGGGCCAAACTCACTTTAACCAACGTTGGGCTGGATTGTGGCTGTAAGCCGAGGACTACTTGTCATTGCAGAAAGGAACAAAATATTTTTTTAAAAAATAGCCCCCCAAAGTTAGCCAGCCGGCCGTCTCTGCAGTCTGCAGACCCAGTTGTGGGTCTCGGCTAAGGACAAAGCTGAAATCAGCAAGTTTTCTTTGTTTTCAACGCCTGGCACAAAAGGCGGTTTTGAAATCTTTCCCAGCTCAGTGGCTATTCTTAGAGCTGGGAAAACAACACACACACACAGCTGCTCGTGTTGTGCTCGCCCAGCAGGCTGCCATGACGCCACTGGGCTGGTCGCACGCGTCGCATACAAGCCCCAAGCTATTTCTCACCCTTTCTGGCTTTGAAAGCCCAAAGGGGACAATCACGTTTTGCAATGAAGTCAGTAGAAGCAGAGAAGCTGGGCGGGCAGCAGCATTTAAAAGAAAACCCAAAGAAATCTTCTCCTCCAGCCGTTGTTGGCAGGATATGAATTTATGATGGAAGCATTATCTGCAAGGGAAGATCTAGCTGCATTTTGAGCATTCTCCATCCAATTTGTTCGGAGGTGACCGCTTTATTTCCTGCATGATCAAGTATTTTAGAAACAAAATGATAGCAGAAAAAGACCTCACGGTCCATCGACTTGTCCGCCTCAATTTAAAAAGCCCAGTCCAGAAAAAACCCACAAATTCTACTTACAGCCGTTTGATGCCGGATTCTTGCTGAGTCAATGGTTTGGAATGAAGGATGGCTGGGGACTGAGTAGATCGTGTTTCTTCGTCCAATTCATCGCTTTAAAAGCAGGAGGAAAAAACAACAACAACACAATATTAGGAATATTTACCCTGCCTGCTGCTCAGGAGTCTCACACTTGGAGCTAGGCAGCCTTCGAAATCTCATCCAGAAAGAAATGGAGAATGGAGATTTTGGAAGGAGGACAGGAATAAAAAGAACATGAATTGTCCAGGGTTAATTCTTGCCTGTTTTCCTAATTCACGGTGGGCAACTTTTCTCTTGACTGGTTAATCTAACCTTGGTTCCAGTTCATTTCAAAGCAAATCTGGAGTCTAAATCTAAATGAGTGTTCCTCAAGCTTGGCAGCTTTCAGACGGGTGGCTTTGTCTCCCAGAATTCCCTAGCCAGCATGCTTGAGAAAGGTGGACTTTGTCTCCCAGAATCCCCCTTGCTGGCTGGTGAATTCTGAGATTTGAAGTCCACCCATCTTAAAGTTGCCATGGTTGAGACACCCTGTTCCAGAGTATCATCCCTTCTCTTTTCATTTCAGCTCTTCCAATCTGAGCAAGTTTCCACTGGACACCCCCCCCCCCAATCTTATCGAGAACAAGCTCGCGTCGCTCCAGGATCGGGCTGGGAAAGGGAGAAACCCCCCAGGGCACCTCTTGTAATACAGAAGCTCCTCTTGAAGCAGGAAAACTTTTGACTTCAGCTCGTTCCTCTCGTGCAAAACGTCTCGCAGCTCTTGCAGAGTGAATCTGGGCCGATTGGGGTCTTTCAGATCCAGGGCGGTCTTCTCCGCATCCGAGAGGAATTCCTCGGAGTTGTTGGCTTCTTCCGGCTGTAAGGCCAAAGAGGGTTTGGTGTTAATTAAGGCTAGTTTAGAGGTCCTTGGTCAGAAGAAGGATAAAGTTTTCTGTGGCCCAGCTCAATTCCAGACTGTAAAATTATAAATGCACAGGGTTAATAATAATCAAGCAGTCCGCCCATGGTGAACGGATGAACAAGGACAGCTGGTCCTCTTTTAGGGACTGCCTCATTTTGCGACCCTTTACAGGGATCCACATTGATGAAAAAGTAACTTTCAAACCCATTTTCGCACTGACAGCCTTTGCAGTTCAGCAAAGCGAAGGAAAGTTGAAGGAAGATCAGAAGCACAGAGTTTCACTTAGCAGCCACTTCACTTAATGACTAAGTGGCTGGTCCCAATTGTGGTTGCTAAATGAGGACTATCTGCAATTGAATTTGTTAATTACTGGTGAATGAGCGTGGTTATTTGGTGATTGCGGCCGTGCAGCCTCTCCCAGAAATATTTTGCCCAATCTCCTAATTGAATCAACAGCCCTGTGACATCTCTGGGTGGTCTCTTATCCAAACACCAATCAGGCCTGTCTTTGTTTTTAATCCGTGGGGCCCAAACAAAATCAGCTAGAGGCGGTCATTTGCTGAGACTATGAACAGCTGACTGGAGTTGACTGGGAGAAATAAGAGACTATTCTTATTCCAATTTAAGAAGGATCCGTTCTGGATTTTGCCGGAGGAAAAAAGCAAAGAAATGGAAAAACGGAAGAACAGAAATAGATATTTCCACATCTCCCTTTGAAATGCATCTCCCTTTGTTTTGCTAAACCCTGTCCCCTAAGTCAAAAGCACAGCAATTAATCCTTTGAGATGACAAATCCATTTTTTAGAGATCCGCGTTTCTTCTATAGAGGTATTTTGGTGGTTTGGGACAGCCTCATCATCATAACACCAACTCCCCAATCAACAAAAGGAACAATTGTGCCTTCTTGGCAAAGGGAGTTGTTGCGTCCTTGGCGGGAAAACAGACACGAGAAGCAGCTGGAGTTCTCAGGTTCTTTTATTCAGCGTTCAGCTTACAGGAAGATGGCTTCAGCTCAGCCCAAACGCCTCAAAGCCTCTTATATAGGCAACTCCCGGGTAAATGGGTTACTTTTCCCGCGCCAGCACCCGCGCATGCGCACGGCGCTGGCGACAGCCTGTCTGGTCCCGGGCAGCTTTGCACCTGCCCGGGACTGCCTGCAAACGCCCGAGCCGTTTGCAAGGCTCGGGACATAACACCCCTTTCCCCCGGGCTAAAACTACTATCAACATACAACATTTATTTTACACGACAATTTGCTCCCCAGTGTTCCCACTGTTTACTGGCTTCTGTCTTGCCAACAATGTTATGTAATCTTCTAGGTACTTAGGAGATTTCTTTGCTCTCTGTGACCTTCTTAGCTCTGGGTTACTGGCATAAGTCCCCTGACTGGAGGGAGGCATGAGCCTGTTCTCTCTACTGTGCCCTGGTGTCTTCCAAGGACTGTGCCCCGATGCCTGGCCTGCTTGCTTGCCCACCGGGCTCGTCAGGCCAGGGCTTCTGTTGCTTTGTGACCTGGTTGTCCTACCTAGCTGTAGACCCTCAGGCCCCTTGAAGTGATAGCCACTGCTGGGCGTCTCTGTAGAACCCCCTAGGTCAGTCCAAGACCTGTCAGGAGGCTGTCTATTCCCTGAACCCCATTCTGTGTTTGGGCTCGTGTGGGTTTCTGTACTCTCCCAAAACTCAGGTGTCCCCTGATTTGTGCTAGGGGTGTTGTAGTCGGGACTTGGTTCCTCGACTAGCTCTGTGTATGTTTGACCCCCTGTAGGATTTGGGGTAAGGTCAGGCCAACCTTGGGCATTGTGTGCCAGCTCTCTTGCGGGGAATGATTTGTTGGGATGCCCCCGGGTATCCTCCGTTGCTGGAGTGCTGTGTGCTGTGTGTGGAAAGTGAGTATGCCCCCGGGGTAACTCCCTGGCTGGAGTAGGCGTGAGTGCCTGTTGTGTGGGTAAGCTCCAAGACTTCCTTTTCGGAGCAATTGCAGAATCTTGGGACGAGCCGTTTGTGGCTCCCTCAGTGGCGATGGGCAGTAGCTCTTGCCCTTCCCTTTGCTCCAAAGGGTCCCCCTCCCCCCCTGGAAAAGACCCAGGAGTTTCAGCAGAAAAGTCCCGCCTAGAGCGGAGTTGGTCGATGTGCCGACGCAGGACACGACCGTTGTCCAGGGCAACCTCGTAGGAGAGAGGACCTGTGATCCTGGACACAGAAGCGGGGACCCATGTATGACCAGGCCCGTAATTGCGAGCCCAAACCGGGGCACCCACAAGTAGTTGTCTAGGTGCCCTAGGATGTGAGGTAGATGAAGGCAGTCTGTCCGGATGCAACCGGTCAAGTCTAGTAGTAAGTTGGCGCCCCCAACGAAGTTCAGCTGGACTTCTCCCTGTAGAAGTGGACGGTGTGGTGCGATAAGAAAGGAGAAAGTCAGCCAACCTGTGATGCCAGTCCCCGTAGGTGAGTCTCTTCAAGGCGTCCTTTGCGATGCGCACCATGCGTTCAGCCATACCGTTGGTGGATGGGTGAAAAGGCGCAGATGTGGCATGACGAATCAGGTTTGCCTGTAAGAAAGCTTGGAATTCGGAGGAGGTGAATTGAGGGCCGTTGTCAGACACAATGACATCTGGCAGCCCGTGTGCAGCAAAAATCCCCCTCAGTACCTGAATAGTCTTTGCAGTGGTGGTGGACGAGACAGGCACAACCTCAAGCCATTTTGAATGGCTGTCAACAAGGACCAAGAAGAACTGGCCCTGAAAGGGCCCAGCGTAGTCAATGTTCACCCTAGACCATGGGGACTGTGTTTCCTCCCATTTATGCACAGGAGCTTGGGGCATCTCTGGGCGAGATCGTTGGCACATGTGGCATGCGTGTACCTTAGCCTCAATATCTTTATCTAAAGCAGGCCACCACAAGGGGCTGCGTGCAAGAGCCTTCATACGAACAATGCCAGGATGACCCTCGTGGAGGGATTCTAAGACCCTAGCCCTCATTGAGGTGGGAATGACAACTCTGTTTCCCCAAAGCAAACACCCCTGAGAAAGGGACAATTCGTTCCTTTTGGACCAGAAACTCTGAAACTCAGGACTAGGGCAGTGCTCAGGCCACCCGGACAGGACCCAGGAGCGGACACGTGAAAGTGTGTGATCTGTACCTGTTTCAGCGGTAACATCCCTGGCCCTAAGAGGGAGCTCGGGCAAGGCTTGGATTGATAGAATGTTGACAGCTGGCGCGGGGTCAGCTTCTACTACTGGCAGAGGCAACCTACTGAGGCCATCAGCATGGCCCATTTCTTTCCCAGGCTTGTGGAGTAATGAAAAATCATATGCAGACAAAAAATAGACCACCTAAGCATTCTAGGGGAAATGATGTGGGGAGTCTGCTTACGTGTGGTAAACAGTCCCAGCAGAGGCTTATGGTCAGTGAAGACCGTGAAATGCCTGCCATATAGAAAATCGTGGATTTTTTAATTCCGCAACAACAGCCAAATGCCTCCCTGTCCTATACTGAGGCGTAGTTATGCCTCTCGGCAGAAGACATGTTTCTGGAGTATTATGCAATAGGAACCTGATGTTCCATCTACCTGAGTGACTCAGGACAGCTCCAACCCTCGTAGGGGGGATGCATCACAAGCGATGCACACAGGAAGAGACTCGTTGAAATGTGCAAGAACACTGTGAGAAGTGAGCAAGGCCTTGACGTCTTTAAAGCAAGCCTCATGTGCTTGTGACCACAGCCACACAGCTTGTTTGTCTAGTAGCCTGTGAAGAGGCTCAGCTACACTAGCTTTATGTGGAAGAAAAGAATTGTAGAAATTCAGGAGGCCTAGGAAGGCCTGAATTTCGGCCTTAGACTTTGGCCTGGGTGCTTCTAAAATAGCAGTTAGTTTGGATTCAGCAGGATGAATCCCAGCAGCATCAATTTTGAATCCCAGAAATTCAGTAGAAGGTACCCCAATCTGGCATTTGTCTTTTCTGAGCTTGAGGCCTGATTTCCTGAATCTTAACAGGACAGCCCTAAGCCTTTCAGCTAGAATGTGTGTGGAGTCTCCTGCAATCAAGACATCGTCAAAGTAGGGGCAGACCCATGGTATACCTCGTAGTGTGTTTTCCATTACGCTTTGGAAAATCCCAGGAGCGACATTCACTCCAAACTGTAGCCTTTTTACCTTAAAGGCTCCCCTGTGGGTCACAATGGTCTGAGCTATAGCAGCATCATCATCAACGGCAGCTGTTGATATGCTTGAGCTAGGTCAGTCCTTTGCGAAAACAACCCCCCACTGCCCCCCCCTTGAGAGGCGGCCAGATGTGACTGACATCACAAGGAACAGGATAGCATGTTGCTTGCATGCCTTATTGAGTGTGGCATTTGAATCCAGCCCAAATACTATGTCCCATTTGCCTTTAGAGGCGTGACAATGGGGGTCTCCCACGGGCTGGAATCAACAGGTTCTAGGATGCCCTGTTGGATTAGTTTGTCTAGTTCAGTGTCAATCTTACTTTTTAAAGCAAAAGGGACCCTTCTTGCTTTAATCCTAATGGGAGTGACAGTGGGGTCTAGCTTAAGGACACAGGTGGTCCTTTGAATGTGCCCAGCTGGGGGCTGAAAACATCTGCAAATTCTTTGCAGACTTCTTGTAGGTCGAGTGTTTGTAAACTGTTGAGTCCTGTGACGGGTATCCCCAGGGCCTCAAACCAATCGAGTCCTATGAGACTCGTTCGTTCACCCCCTACTACTAATAAGTCTAGTGGACCTTCAAAACTCTTGTATTGCACGTTAAGGGTGGCCTCCCCCTTAACACACACTCCTTGTTCTGAAAATCTTGTCAACAATAATCGAAGGCCTTAAACTTGGCCCTTAGTCCACCACTACTGGAACAAATCTTTCCTAAATGTATCACGTGAAATGATGGACAGGGCAGACCCTGTTCCCAGTTTCCTATAGTAATGGAACCCTTGTAGCTGCACTTGATTGCAGCTTTTTCTTCTCATATGGGCTTGTGTGTGCCTGTCCTAAGATGCTTCCTTCGCGAAGCGCAAAAACCTACCCTATTCTATTCTGGCTGGGGAGTGCTGGTACCCTTCAGGGAGCGTCTTCTTCTTGGGTTGTGCGCTTTCGTCGCCCAGACAGCAAAGCAGTGCAATGTGCCCTAGTTTGCCGCATGCCCGGCAGGTAGCGGAGCGGAACTTGCAGTCGGTTCTCCTGTGGCGACCTCCACAGCCGATGCACTTGAGCGGAGCCGAAGAGCTTCCCTTCTGGTTTCCTTCCTTCGCGGGGTGTAGACAGTCGACTTCCTCGTCCGGATCCTCCTCGAAGTTTCGTTGGACGTCTTCCTGGTGCACGGACGCACCCTCTGCACTGCTTCTGATCGGCCGCATGTTCTTGACGGCGCCGCCTGCTGCTTCTTCTGCAGTGACTTCCCTTAATGCTCTTGGAAGGATAATTCTTCCTTGGCAAAAAGTCTCTGTTGTAGCTCTCGATGCCTTAGCCCGCACACGAATCGGTCCCTCAGTCGTTCCTCGAGGTCCTTTAACTCGCAGGGCTTGGCGGCCTTCCGTAGCGCGGCGATGTATTCCTTGGCTGTTTCACCGGACCGTTGATCCCTCTGCTCGAAGGTGTGGCGCCATGAGATAACGGACACCTTGGGGTGGAAGTGCTCTTTCAGCAGCTTCTTCAGGTCTGCGTATCTTACAGACTCTACTGGAACAGGTGCTGCAATGACGAATGGTTTTCCTTTCCCTTTTCTTGCGTGGTTAATCGAAGGCGTCTTGGCCGCAAACGCAAAGCAGGGTGGCAGCCTTCAAGCTATCTTCCGTCACTTGGTTTGCCTTGAAGTAGTTCTCCATTCTGGATACGTAGGACTCCCACCGCTCTGGATGTGAGACATTGAATTCCGAAAGCCTTCCGATTTTCGCCATCTTCGGATCTTCAGGAGACGGGTCTATCAGCCAGCCTACCCCCAAATGCGCACCGGATTGGCGGGCAGCTGCCGAGTCTACGCCGTTCCTCTTCCGCCGCTCAGGACTCCTTGGGTAAGCTTACACTTTTTCCTTTCCAGGTAGTGCAAGGCATCCCACCTTCGTCGCCAGTGTTGAGTCCGTGGCGGGAAAATAGACACGAGAAGCAGCTGGAGTTCTCAGTTTCTTTTATTCAGCGTTCAGCTTACAGGAAGATGGCTTCAGCCTTGCCCAAACGCCTCGCAGCCTCTTATATAGGCAACTCCCGGGTAAATGGGTTACTTTTCCCGCGCCAGCACCCGCGCATGCGCACGGCGCTGGCGACAGCCTGTCTGGTCCCGGGCAGCTTTGCACCTGCCCGGGACTGCCTGCAAACGCCCGAGCCGTTTGCAAGGCTCGGGACATAACACCCTCCATTTTAAAACATCTGTTTGTTTGGTTGGGTGCATGTTTAGAATGTTGAATTCTTCAGAGTTACTCCAGAAAAGGAGAAATTACATCATATATTTCTGGTGAGAACACATAATAGCTACATGCAAATAATTCATCAGTTCTAGCCATACTCTTAAGCAAATTACCCACAGATGCAAAAAGTTGCTATTGTGATAAAATAATGTGTCAGAATCTTGTGTTACAAAATGGCGTATGTGCTAACAATATAGGAGCATCCCGCCTTTCCCCAGCCAGCAACCCTAGCTGTAAAAGCTATGCTGGCTTGGAATTTTGGGAGTTGCAATCCCATCACATTTGCAATGTGTGAGAAAAGCAACATATATATATATACATACACCCACACCCACAGTCTTTTGTGACTTGGTTTGAAGGGTTTTTTTTTATTACTTCCCTTGTTAAAAGAACCTAAAACTTACAGAATTGGAGAAGTCAATGCCTAATGAAGAAGAATGTTGGAAGGGAAAGGAACAATACAAGAGGAAAGAAAAAGAAAATGTAAACTGTATTGAAAGAAAAAAAATATGGAAAAACTGCCACTTACAACAGCAGTCTTCAACATTTTTGGCACCAGGGACTAGTTTCGTGGAAGACAATTTTTCTACGAAGGGGGGGGCATGCTTTCAATTTCACTCACTCACCCGCTGCTTACCTCCAGCTGTGCAGCCCAGTATCGGTCCATGGCCTGGGGTTTGGGGACCCTGACATGCAGTATAACACTGAAGGGAGAAAGGCCTAACAACTTCCAATCCTTCTATCAACTACTATATCTGGGAATTGACTGAAGTCTATTATTATGATCTATTTTGATATGTTTTAATCTACATCTGTGTAATATTTTAATATTGTGTATCACCTTAAGATCCAGAATCAGTACCAAGCATCATATTGTCATCAGGCAGCCAATGAAGCAGACTTTAGCACAAACCATCAAATCAATCATGCTTTTAGATTTCTATTCACACTGGCACTTGTATGCATGCTTAAACCATATATTCAGAACAAAGGGATCTTTTTCTAAGGGGATGATGGACTTTTCTAAACATCCTTAAGCTGCTTGATTCTCATGTTTGACTCCATCTGAAGCTGTGTTTAGAACAGTGATGGCAAACCTTTTAGAGACCGAGTGCCCAAACTGCAACCCAAAACCCACTTATTTATTTCCGGGTGCCAGGTGGGTGGGCATGGCTGTGGTGGTCATGGCAGATTGGGTGGGTGTGACCAAGGTGGGCATGATCACCTCAATGTTGCTCGTGGGGAGGGACACCTGTGGGGGCCGGGCAGGGTTGGGGGAGATCCAGGGGGTCTCTGGCAGGTGGGGCAGTGGGCAGGAGGCTCGTCCTGCTGGGTGAAGCGAGGCAAAGTGAGGGTTCCATTGTCACAGGGCAAGGTGAGGCAGGGGCCAGGGCGGCTGCTGTCTGACACCATCAGCCAGTGCACACAGAGGCCAGTGAGTGCATGGGTGCTGGGATGCATCTGGCCATGTGGGACCTCAGCGAGTTAGCGGGCGGCTGGTTGAAGAGGGATGGTTGCCATCTCCAGGGCATGGTACGCGTGCCCACAGAGAGGGCTCTGAGTGCCACCTCTGGCACGCGTGCCATAGGTTCACCACCACTGGTTTAGAACTTTCTTTCTAGATTTCAACCCCTTTCTTTGCTTTGACCAAGTGCTCTAGCTAGACTGCACTTATCACAGCTCTAATTTATGAATTCCTCTATTTCTTTACCCTTTGCTCGGTGCCAGGAAAGCAAAGATTTCCATGGACAGGTCTCTGAGGACATGGCATTTTCTTTGGCACAGTAGAATTTAGAATGAGCTTTCTTCCATTGACTCTCTTTGATAGATCTTTTATATGATTCCACCTTTTTGAGGCACTCCCACCTAGTGCATTCATTGGTGGACCAGGGAAAGGAAATAGAATAGACTTCTAGGATTATGCCCAAACAAAAATGGCAGGTGTGAAATTTAGAAGAATCTTCCCCATCTCTTCTTCAGAGGAATAGTCTGCTACTAAGTGCCAGACTGCTGTCTATTTCTGCCATCCCAAGCAACTGCTTTTCCTGTTTTGAAAGCAGTGGAGTTGAAGGGA